GCTGGTGCAAATGTGTTGTGATACTGGATATTCCCTGTGCCAGTTTATCCCAGTGGAAATAACTCATGGAGGTAAAGGTAAAGGGACTCCTGACCGTTAAGTCCAGTCACGGATGACTCTGGGGTTGCAGCACTCATCTCACTTTATTGGCTGAGGGAGCCGGCATACAGCTTCCAGGTCATGTGGCCAGCATGACTAAGCCGCTTCTGGCGAACCAGAGCAGCGCATGGAAACTCCGTTTACCTTCCCACCGGAGCGGTACCTATTTATTTACTTGCAGTTTGATGTGCTTTCGAACTGCTAGGTTGGCAGGAGCAGGGACCAAGCAACGGGAGCTCACCTTGTCATGGGGATTCGAACCACCGACCTTTTGGTTGGCAAGCCCTAGGCTCTGTGGTTTAGACCACAGATTTAAGAGAATGATAAATTTACCCAAAATGGGGAAACTAATACTTGGTGTTCTCTCTCTCTCTCTCTCTCTCTCTCTCTCTCTCTCTGTGTGTGTGTGTGTCAGACACAGGGCTTTTCCCCCAACCAGAACTCAGTTCCGGCACTTTTCAGGTGGGCGCCTTTCAGCAGCATAGCTAGGGGGTGAGGCAGGGGCAGGGCACATTGGGCACTGCTTCCCTAGGGGCATCACTTTCCACGGGGCCTGCAGTGCGCCTGAGCCATGCGTCTCTCCTGGGAGTGACTGGGTGACTTGGGCACCTGCAGGCACCGTGCCCCTCAAAAGGGTGGCGTGGGGCTCATGTTTGCCTGCTGCCTTCCCCTCAGCTGGAGGGCAGCTGAGGGGAAGGCGGCAGGTGGACTCCATGCAGGCTCCTCCCAGAGTGCCCTGCCTGGGTTGCCCTGCCCCTCCCGGGTGCCTGAGCGGCTAGGTACACCGCTGGCGCCGTTATAAGAGAACAAGGGAGGCATTCATGGTGAGTTCTGGCACCTCTTTTTCTAGAAAAATAGCATATGTGTGTGTATAAGTATATGTATATATGTGTGTATAGAGAGAGAAAATGGGGCGGGGGGAATCCCATCTGTGCTATACTTTTAAAGTGGTATCATATCACTTTAAATAGCCACAGCTCCCCACAAAGAAACATAGAGTAGTTAGGGTGCTGAGAGTTCTTGAGAGACGCCATCTTCCCCTCTCAGAGCTGCAATTCTCAGAGTGGTTTCACAATCACTCCTTCTCCCAAGGGAACTCTGGGAATTGGAGCTCTGTGAGGGGAAGAGATGTCTTCAAACAACTCTCAGAATGCAAGGAAGCAGCCTTTAGCTTTTATTTTTTATTTTGACAAAGTAATAATAATAAATAATAATGTGCACCCCACTCCCAAGACCATTCCATTGTAACTATCCAACCTCCCAAAATTTCAACACCTCTTTTGATGGTTTGACCCTTTTCCATTCTAACAGTACAAATTCTACAAGCACCCTCCATATCTCCTCAAAACCATTTCTCCTGCGTATTCCCCGTCTTACCTTAATAGCACATGTTAACTTATCATTAATAGCTGTATACCCCACAGCCTTTAGCTCTTGGTGAAGGCTTCTTTCTGGTGTACCTTGGCACCATCTATTCAGAGAGTTTAGTGCAAAGTTTGCTGCCGCTCAATGATTTTGTCTACTGAAATAACCACGGGGTGAACCCTGCTGAAGTGAAGGCCTTCTAAGCGAAAGCGCATGGAGGTTATTTCTTTGGTTTGCTTTTTCCAGATTTAGCTCTATGTATGTGAAGCTCCTGTCTGTAGCTGGCTATCTCTCTCTCCTTGATTAATGTGAGCTCCTCTCTTGCCGCAGTGCTCTTGGCTCTTCTCTCCTGAGCCTGTCCAAAAGACTGCTGCTTTAGTAATTTTCCTCTTCTACTCCCCTGACGGTCACTTCTCTTCTGGTGGCCTTCCTTTTTTTTGTTTTTTATCCTTGAGACAATAAAGCTCCTCTTCCACCCGCTGTGCAAAACGTTTTCCTCACAGTGATGGATGCCCTTTCCTCAGAAAGATACTTGGTACATTTTCTCCATCTTAAGAGTCAATAATAGCCCTTAACAGACACCTGACCAAGTCAAAGGAGCCAGATAACATCACTCTCCGGGATTCGGCCACACCTGCCAAATTGTTGCGTACATTTATGGACCCAACATAAATATAGGACCTGAGGCAAACCACAATCATTTTCCTCATGAGACAACAATCTCAAAACAGAATGAGAACATTGTCCTGGGTAAAATCAGAGCATCTAAACCAGGCATGTCCAAAGTCCATTTCAGTATACAGTGGTACCTCTGGTTACGAACTTAATTCGTTCCGGAGGTCCGTTCTTAACCTGAGGTACCACTTTAGCTAATGGGGCCTCCCGCTGCCGCCATGCCGCGATTTCTGTCCTCATTCTGAGGTAAAGTTCTTAACCTGAGGTACTACTTCCAGGTTAGCAGAGTCTGTAACCCGAAGTGTTTGTAACCTGAGGTACCACTGTATGTCCTGGGGTAAAATCCTAAAAAAGCTCAACAACGTTGATCGGCCCTCACGCATGTTCATTTCATCAAATCTGGCCCTCTTTGAAAAAAGTTTGGGCAACCCTGAACTAAATCAAGGTTCTCCAGCTGTGGTCAGCAGGCCATGGGCGTTCTGTGAGCTTCCTTCAGGTGGTCCATGGAGTTGTGCTTGAAGATGGAAGGTGGCACATCTGTGGGATTATATATATATATATATAGCTATTGCCTCTTTTATTTTTATTTTTCTGCATTGTAATTTGAATTCCAATCGTCATGCAATATGGAAGAGGAAAAAGAAGCATGAAAAATACAATTAAAAACCAAAAACATCTAGCACAGTGCATTACAATTGCTACAGCAGGCTGAAAAGCCATGGAGGGGGGGGCTTCCAAGACCCCCAGCAATTCTCAAGTGGTCCATGGGGGAAGAAAAGTTGGGGAATCGCTGACCTGAATGAATTTTAGTAGGCTGTGCTCCCTGAATGAAATAGGGACCAGATGAAAGTTCCAGAATCGGGTATAGCTGAAGACTTAAATAAAATAGCCTCTCCTCACCCTGCCAAATGCAGCAAATCTCATGTGTTTAGTGTCTCTTTCCTCTTCGGTTTGGGGTAGGTCTGAACTCGTCCTGCGATGTGCCCCTTGTAGAACAGCAAATATTTCGGGCCATTTTACAGGCAGCACCCATAGAACAGAAGTGAGGAATTGTTGCTGACAGTGAATGACAAATGAATGTTAAAAAAAGGGGGAATGTAAATAAGATTTGTGAAATGATGCTTGTAGAGGCCACTTTGCTCATGCGGAAACCTTGGTGAACTACCACTTTGTCATTGTCAGGAAGGAACTTTTGATCTCCGAAGCTGTTTCTGTTCTTACTGTCTTTTTAGGCTCAGCGCTTCTGCTCTGGGCTCCTGAAGCCCATCTCTGTGTTACAACCCTGTGCTGGTTTCACTATCGTGGCTCCTCTCAAAGAAGCCTCGGGGTTTTACTTTTGTGAAAGCGATGCACAAGCTTAGTCAGGCTCAGATTGCATTTTTGTTGTTGTTTAGTTGTGTCCGACTCTTCGTGACCCCATGGACCAGAGCACGCCAGGCACTCCTGTCTTCCACTGCCTCCTGCAGTTTGGTCAAACTCATGTTGGTAGCTTTGAGAACACTATCCAACCATCTCGTCCTCTGTCGTCCCCTTCTCCTTGTGCCCTCCATCTTTCCCAGCATCAGGGTCTTTTCCAGGGAGTCTTCTCTTCTCATGAGGTGGCCAAAGTATTGGAGCCTCAGCTTCACGATCTGTCCTTCCAGTGAGCTCTCAGGGCTGATTTCCTTAAGAATGGATAGGTTTGATCTTCTTGAGGTCCATGGGACTCTCAAGAGTCTCCTCCACACCATAATTCAAAAGCATCAATTCTTTGGCGATCAGCCTTCTTTATGGTCCAGCTCTCACTTCCATACATCACTACTGTGCAGATTGCGTTTAGTTTGCATTAATTCAAAAAAAGAAGAGAAGGGGGGGGGGGAGAGGAGAGATTAGAACCAGGAAATATATTGGCTTAATCTGAGTCGACCCTACCTATCCTACATTTGAAATACTCTTATTCCACTTTAGAATCATAGAATTGTAGTGTTGGAAGGGATCCCAAGACACATCTAGTCCAACCCCCAGCAAAGCAGGAATAATAATTCCTCCCCAAAAATCCTGAAGCTTGTAAAAGATACTGAGTTTCTAAAGGACACTGAGAACCTTAACAAACTACAGTTCCCAGGATTCTTGGGGGACAGCCATAATGGTTAAAGGTAAAGGTAAAGGGACCCCTGACCGTTAGGTCCAGTCATGGCCGACTCTGGGGTTGTGGCGCTCATCTTGCTTCATTGGCCGAGGGAGCCGGCATACAGCTTCCGGGTCATGTGGCCAGCAGGACTAAGCCGCTTCTGGCGAACCAGAACAGCGCACAGAAACGGCGTTTACCTTCCCGCCGAAGTGCTACCTATTTTTCTACTTGCACTTTGACATGCTTTCGAACTGCTAGGTTGGCAGGAGCAGGGACCGAGCAATGGGAGCTCACCCCATCGCGGGGATTCGAACCGCCGACCTTCTGATCGGCAAGCCCTAGGCTCTGTGGTTTAGACCAGGGTTAAAGGGTGCTTTAAATGATTGGTGTGGGTGTGGCTCCATATCAATTTGGATTTCTTCCCATTTGATCCCATCCATCCTTCCTTCCTCCAAACCGTGGCCTTGCTATCCATGCATCCACTCAAGATCTTTTGAACCTCTTTCATTCCCTCTCGCTCACTTTCCTTTCTGCCACCGTTTCTCTTGCCCATTTCCTGGGACGTTGCTACACTCTGTGTACTTTTCAGATTAATTTTACTGGATCCAGCTCTTGTACTTTGACTCAGATCCCTTAGAAAAGCAAAGTGAGCTTTCATGTTTGTTTTGTGTCTTTATGCCTGGGGATGGGGAGACAAGTGAACAAAGTACCGGTGACCCACGACACTCACTCAGAACTCCAAATGTGCCCATGGAGCCGAAAAGGTTGCCAGCTCCTCTTCTGCATAATCCCTGGCAACACAAATGCGAAGAAGACAAGCAGAAAACCGAACAATGAAGCATTCTGCTCGCTACAATTTTGCTTGCTTTCCAGTGAGACTAAGAACAAAGCCCTTTGTCTGAATCTGACAGGAGTATCAAGATTTATTGATCTGAGAGAGAAATCTTTTTCAGAGATAATGTTTCACCTTGAGAAGTAATACAGTATAGCATTTAACCAACAGAAGAAGCTGTTGCATATACTGTTACGTAAGTCCAGGATTATATCCATTTGAGCAAATTAGGCTGGCACATTAGTTAATGGGAAGCCAGACTAGCTCTTAAAAACAATGTTCACAGGGGTTGTTTATGTGAGCAGGGACTATTTGGAGGTTGTTTAAATAAATTTATGACCTTCCAAGTTGGCTAATAATTTGTTATCCTGCTGTGATTTCCTTGCGTGGTTTTTTTTTGGAATTAGGTTTTCCAAATTACTTATATTTTGGGATAAAGCAACGAAAGCAGTGCAGCATCAGAGAATGGAACTTTGTTGGAGATAAAATATGATGCTATACCATAATAGTTTAGAGTCAACAATAAATGTGTTACATACAGGAGGCTCAATGTGTTTGCATCGTTTTTAATGCATTTAATCAACAGTAATCAAAACAATGTATATAAAACTTTTTTAGTATTAATACTTTGTCATCAATACTGTCCAACTTTATTGCACCCTTCTAAGGTTGGTCATTATTAACACCATTTTACATTTGATAAGAGAGGAAAGGCTGGACATGACATCTTTTTGGGTTAAGTTTAACTCTATATCTGCAGGGTTACACTCGTTTTTTCAGTTGGAACCTTAATTATCTGTATAGATGTTTCATGTCTTCTAAATTTAGTGTGGGAGATACCATATAATAATTAAGCCAAAGCAATCTGCAGCATGTAATTATCTCATTGAGGGGTCATCAACATAAACAACTTCTGGGAAATGTTCAGGTGCAGATCTCCAGCAGGTGGACCCAATAGTGCGAGGTTGAACCCCAGAAATTTGACTCTACGTGCTTTGACATGTTGCATGAATGAGACAGTCAAAAGTAAAATCTTGCTTATTGTGGTTGGCCCTCAGTGCAGATGTATTAAGGTATGTAGGGCCTTATAATCCAACTGTATGCACATTTACTCGGAAGGAAGCCCCAAGTGTTTTATTGAGCCTTTGTCTCAAGTAAGTGTGTTTGGGATTACCACCTGAGCTAGTTACGGCTTTAGAGGTTAACACTAAGACTGTGACAAATGTTTGCCTGTTTCAGTTTTCAGGTTGAAAAGAGCGCTTTGGGAGGGTGAGGATATTTTCTGACACCACCATTAATGCTAACTTTGTCCCCCAAAATGGTTCACTGCCCTTCCCCTACTCTTTGCACACAATTATTTGCTTCTTTCTATTTTATTTCTATTAGGACTTCATCCAGTCCCGGGATCTCACCCAATCACAGTCGTGGTTCGTATTATGAACATGATGATGTCCATGATGCTAAGCAGCTAATCACACTGGGCTTGTGCTGATGTTGCTGGGGGTACGCACAGCCAATTTGCAGGTAGGGAGATGCTTCCTGGACTGGTCATATGGGCAAACCTAGCCAACTAGGGTCAGGAAGGGCAACAAAGATCTATTTAGCTGGAGGGCAGTGCTTCGTGAGCAGCCAACCTCTCTCCTTTTCAGTGCTAATGAAAGCATTCCCCCAAATTGCCCTTTTGCCCAGCCATGCCCTTGCTAAAACCAACACCTTGAATTGCTGCCACTGCATTTTGGGAGAGCTGTAAAAAGGATGGCCCTTTGGCTGGTTCATGACCTTAAGTTTATGAAGGCATATATATGCAGGACCTAAAACTGTCCGCTATTCCCACTAGCAACAGTCCGAATCGTAAAACCCAGGAAGACGGATTTCAAGTATGGTTTATTTGTGCTGTCTGTAACTTCAGTAGCGATCATGTCAAACCAGTGAAATATTCTCCTTATAGGTGCGAACGGGGCCACAACGCCATCATCCCTGTCACATTGACACAAGCTGTATGTTTAGGAGCGCTTAATGAATTGCATTCTTGCCCCCTCCTTCCCTGACTGACACATCTTATTGTCACTTACCATTTCAGGAAGTCCCATAACCTTGGGCCCTCTGCTTGAAATGTCAATGTCTTATGATTAATGAACATAATGTGGCAATTTCTGTTAAGGAATATGTTCTGCGAGAGCCAGCCCTTACTCCCATAACAGTGGGACAAAAGTGCATCACTCAGTACGTATCTATGAACTGTATTATGACTGATTTTAGTTACCAGCCAGGATTCTTAAATGGCAGTGATTTTTGAAGATTAGCGTTTTAGGGTTGCCATCGTTGGTTTTACAAATACTGGATAACTGGGTGTGGCTCAGGATCAGACCCAGTGCAGACAAAAGCAGCTGGGTCAGGGGCAGAGCCAAGGCAAAACCTTGTGGGTAAGGGAAAGAGCTAGGGCAGGATTTTGGGTGTCAAGGTCAGAGAGCAGCATTTGGCAAGTATTTTCAGAAGCAGAACCTGGATTATCCTATTTCTGCACATCCCAGTAATAGATGGGATTGGATAGATGGGATTTGGATTTGATATCCTGCTTTATCACTACCCGAAGGAGTCTCAAAGTGGCTAACATTCTCCTTTCCCTTCCTCCCCCACAACAAACACTCTGTGAGGTGAGTGGGGCTGAGAGACTTCAAAGAAGTGTGACTAGCCCAAGGTCACCCAGCAGCTGCATGTGGAGGAGCGGGGAAGCAAACCCGGTTCACCAGATTACGAGTCCACTGCTCTTAACCACTACACCACACCGGCTCTCTAATCTTTTACAGATTAGACTAGCAAAATACTGGTTGGTTGACAATCCTTTTTTCTTTTGCAAGTCATTCCCAATGGCTTTATTCCAAACCTGAAAAAGAATTACAAACATCAAATTCAAAATCCATATTCGTTTTGTAACATAAGCCTATTACATAGTTGACTAGATTAAAATATACCTAATTGCTATAGACTTCCCTTTTCTATATATAAATGCAACGTAATTAGAAATATTGTATTAGAAATTTTTATAAATTCCCCTATACCCTCCACTCCCCTTCACCCATGTGTGATCTCAATTTTTTTTTTTACTTCTTCCATCTTGTTGTGTTGTTGTAGTTTAATAATTATCCAATTATTCAATTGAGTCTTTTGATTCTTTTATTACTTCCTTGCTTACCCCTGCACGTTTTACACATTATCTATTAATATTCCAGTTCCGGAACCATATTTTTGGTTGGTTGACAATCCTATGAGCATGTTGCTTTAGCAAGGATGATCCATACAGATCTCTGTGAATGGCTTGGTTTGATGGATCGGGTCCTGCATTTGCAAAAGGGTGAACACACCCACATCCATCACTCTCAGTAGTGACTGAAGTCTGGTTGATGACTATGTCTATAGCCTATATAAATTGGGCATTGCCAAAATTGACCATGTGCCTTAGGATGGGCGCTGTATCAGGACCTCTTCCAGCAGATGGTTTGTGCTGTCAGAGCTGGCTGCGCTGCCAATATATTTAGCTGAACCATGTACGCTTGTGTGTGAGAGGATCTGTGGATCTTTTTCTTACTTATGGACTTCATTGCAGCAAACTGGTCACAACCGATGTTGGCATACATGACTTTGAAGGGGAATTAGGCAGGTATACGGAGAATAGGGCCACCATTGGCTATTGGGAGCACTAGAACCTCCAGATTCAGAGACATTACTGGTTGGTGCTCAGGAGGAGCATCAAGAGCTGACTATTGTCTTCTAACCTCTAGGTTAGATTACTGCAACGCATTATACATAGAGCTGCCTCTGAAGATGGTTCAGAAACTTCAGCTGGTGCAGAATTAGGCAGCCAGGTTGCTCATCGATGCAAGATGGTTTGAGCACGTAATGCCAATACATTAGTTTCCAGGCCCAATTCAGAGTGCTGGTTTTTACCTATAAAGCCTTAAATGACTCAAGGTCCGCCTCTCCTCATATGAGCAGACCCTGACCTTACAATCGTTATCTGAGATGCTTCCTCGTGTTCCTGCTCCGTGCAGGTAGCAACGTAAGAAGGGGCCTTTTCTGCAGTGGTTCCCCGTTTGTGGAATGCTTTCCCCAGAGAGGTCCGTCTGGTACCTTCATTGCATATGTTTAGGCACCAGGCAAAAAACATTCCCCTTCTTCCCAGGCCTTTGGCTAATTAAAAAATCTATAGCCTTTTAAACTGAGAGGGTATTGTTTTTGTTCGGTACTCTGTTAAGCAGGTTTGTATTTTTATATTGTAAACCACCCTGCGGTCCTTGGATGAGTATAGAAATTTAATAAACAAATGAAAAAGAAAAAAACATCAAAATTTATGCGCTGCTTGTGGATTTCCCAGAGCCACCTTGGGTGGCCATGGTTAGAAGCAAATTAAACATAACTTTCAGTAGATCCAGCAGAGCTCTTCTAATGTCCTTACGATAAATGCCGTGATGTTTTGCCCATTTAAAACAAACACTTTCTTTTTTACACCAATGGTGCTCCGTGATTGATGAGTGGCTATTTAGCTTCCTAGTGAAGCATTGAAATGTAATGTGTGCCAAGTAACCAGCAACCCCCCCCCCCAAATCTCCTGCTACTACTGAAAGAAGCAATTCTCACAGCATACAGACAATCTTGCTTTATAACGCAGGCCTGCTTGGCGTTAAATGGTTACGACCTTGAACAATTTTAATTGGGTTGTTTGGCGGTCAGTTCACATGGGAAGGAGGGGAATTCATGCAAAATTATTATGATGTTGTAGTAAAACCTCTTCATTAAGACTGTAAGCAACATTCCAATGTAACAATCACTTCTCCAGTTTTGATAAAAAAAGACCCTTTCTGTACAAAGTTCCCACTGGTATTCCACAAGATTCTTCTTATGCCACAAATGTAAACAACACACAAAATTTGAAATTTGATTATAGTTTGGAGACTATCTGTTCCATTGATTTCTAGCTTGGATTTTGGAAGTTCTGTTCTTTCAAAAACATGGGGGGAAATGCACTTCATAGTCAGAATGATTATTCATTTTTTAGCGTAGGGGCACAATTCAGTGTGTATACTTATCACACTTAGTACCTGGCACAAAATAATGTGGTTTATTTTATTCAGCTCAGATCGGTGGCAGGGTCGAAGGGCCAATATTTATATATGTACCTGCAAGTGAATGAGTGAGCTCTCTCACGGTGCCAACTTATCCATTGCGCTTCACGGACATTATGCAGTCAATCCAGCCCTGTCACCATATAAGGCCAATCGGAACACCAAATCCCTGCACACTGATTTTTTTTGAAGTGAATAAACATTGTTCCAACAGCTACTAGTGCACTAGAAAGATTGCTATGGGGGAAACCACGGGTATGCTCACATTTGTGGCTTGAAACATTGTGAGTTTGTTCCTCCAGTTGCATTTTCAAGTTGCTTTTTCCTGCCAAATTTCACACTGAAACGGGGTCAGGAAAGTCGTCTTGGGTTGCCATGTGTCCTCTTTTCCCTGGACACATCCTCTTTCTAAGGATTAAGGATTTATTTCCAGGCAGATTTTTAAAATTTGACAAAATGTCCAGGTTTTTTGTTTTTTTGTTTACAGTAACCCAAGAAACAAATTCTAGTGCATTAGACTCAGGTCTAAGGCACCCTGCTAAGCTAGTCTGCAGCACAGAATCACAACAGTGCAGCATCTTAAACTAGCTACATACTATAGAAATGCCTTCTCCTGCGGCTGAACTAAAAGGACGCTGACTCAGCTACAAGATCTTGGAGAAGGAGTCTGGGAGGACAAGAGTTAACACTGCCGCCCCCCGCAATGTGAACATGAGCCCAAATGCTTTCATGCGGCAAGGAAGGGAGCAATATGCATTTTTATTATTTTGCTGTTGAAAGTTAAGAGCATTGCTACTACCAATATATCACAGCTTCAATAGCCTACATATAGTAGGGGTATTTAAAATGAGCGTCATCACAGCAATCTGTAGCTAAAAGTAAAGTAAAGGTAGAGGGACCCCTGACCATTAGGTCGAGTCGTGACTGACTCTGGGGTTGTGGCGCTCATCTTGCTTTATTGGCCGAGGGAGCCGGTGTACAGCTTCCAGGTCATGTGGCCAGCATGACTAAGCCACTTCTGGCAAACCAGAGCAGCACACGCAAACGCCGTTTACCTTCCCGCCAGAGTGGTACCTATTTATCTACTTGCACTTTGACATGCTTTTGAACTGCTAGGTTGGCTGGAGCAGGGACCGAGCAACGGGAGCTCACCCATTCAAACCACTGACCTTCTGATCGGCAAGTCCTAGGCTCTGTGGTTTAACCCACAGCGCCACCCGCATCCCTCAGTAGTAGAAGTAGAAGTTGGCAAATGTGTCCTCTTTTTTGCTCTTCAAAATATGGCGACCCTAAATTGTCTTCACTTGATGATTTCCTTCCCTGGGATGAACTCCAGTTCTCTGCATGCCCCAAAGCTGCCTGAACTGTTGACCCCACAGTGTAACTGCGGCTTCTGTTTCAAATTTCCATGGAACATGGTCTGATATCAAGTACAGTGGTGCCTCGCAAGATGAAATTAATCCGTTCCGCGAGTCTCTTCGTCTTGCGGTTTTTTCGTCTTGCGAAGCACGGCTCTTAGCGGCTTAGTGGCTATTAGCGGCTTAGCGGCTATTAGCGGCTTAGCGGCTATTAACGGCTTAGCGGCTTAGCAGCTTTAAGAAAAAGGAAACAAACTCGCAAGAACTCACAAGACGTTTCGTCTTGCGAAGCAAGCCCATAGGGAAATTCATCTTGCGGAACGACTCAAAAAACGGAAAACTCTTTTGTCTAGCGAGTTTTTCGTCTTGCGAGGCATTCGTCTTGCGGGGCACCACTGTACATAGAAGAGGGGTATTTCTCTAAAAGCTACAGGACTTTAATGCTCACCTGCCCCATTCAGTAGAAGGGTGATGAGCAGGGGCAGCAGCCCTGTGTGTGTCTATGTATTCAAAATGTTTTTACCAAGAAAAGCTGAAAAGATACAGGAGTATAGAGATGAAGGCAATCTTTCTAGAAGTGACTCATTTTTATAAACGAATGTAAGTCTGCAGGGTATTAGCCGGAGAGTTTTCAAAGCAAAGAAAAAGGTTGGTTTTGCAGATACCAAGACCTAAATATTAATCGAAACTTAGCTGCGATTCTGCTGACACACATAATGAAGTTTTCCAGCTGTCACTCACTTTTGCTCCTGACAGTTCTAATGAAATGCTACTGGCATAAAGGGTGCTCCTCAAGGGCCTGAAAAACTGAAACAGGTTTCTGGCCTTTAAAAAAAGATAAATTGCCGGCTATCTGCCCATTTTCTTCCCGTCTAGAAACTCAGAACGCTTTGTGCGTGCACTGGGCCAAGAAGCAAAAATTAGAGGCTTTGTAATCCAAGATGAGTTTGAGAAACCACACATGCCTACCTCGGTTTCTGCTCCTTCAAAAGTCCTTATGGAGGGCATCGGGAATAAACTTGACTGCGAGTGCGGTATTTAGGGCACAAGTCTAATTAAAGAAAGCCATTTTTGTTTCCTTTTTGAGAAGATGGAAATGTCACAGATAATAGCCATTAGTTAAACATTGGCAGCTGGTGGTAATAACACACCAGCCGCAAGGAAATATTGTCTGGGAAAAGGTTGCTCTGTAACCGAACTGCGTTAGGAGCAAAGCGTCGGCTGCCTTGAAACTCTTAGCAATGGGGTATAATCTCAAGCTTATAACATGAAGAAGGGCAGGTACTCATATAAGCAGCTGTGACAATCAATCCGGTCCTAGGATTGTACAGAACGAAGCAGCTGCTTTAGGAAGTGATTTTGGATTTCATGATCAGATTGTTGGATGCTTAGTTTATTACTGTTGTGGTTTTACTACCAGGGAGTGGAGAAGAGGCATTTCTGGTGGTGGTTGAGGTGCTGAGGTTGTCTTATGACTTTCTTCTTCTTTGGCAATCACTCGTAGCCGGGTAAGATTGTCTTCCATAAACCCAGTTTTAACAGTGGTTCTGTAAGTGACTGTGGAGGCCAATTCTGGATCCACACGTCCTTCCACAGTGGGGACATTGGTTTCCGGGCAGGAGTTGATCATGGTGAGGGTTTGCCAAGTGTGACTTCCTCTTAGCACGTTTCTCCTTTTCGCCCTGAGTTCGAGCGTTTTCAAAGCCCACGACACCTTTGGTAAAGGCTGTTCTCCAATTGGAGCGCTCGCAGGCCAGTGTTTCCCAGTTGTCGGTGTTTATGCTACATTTTTAAAGATTTACCTTGAGAGAGTCTTTGAACCTCTTTTGTTGACCACCAACATTACGCTTACCATTTTTAAGTTCAGAATAGAGTAGTTGCTTTGGAAGATGATCATCAGGCATCCGCACAACATGACCAGTCCAACAAAGTTGATGTTGAAGAATCATTGCTTCAACACTGGTGATCTTTGGTTCTTCCAGTACACTGATACCCATGACTGAACTTGCAGTGGAGGCATCCTAGGGTGCTTCCAGACTGTCGCTATTGTTGGGGTGGGATTTAATCACATACTGGCAAATTCAGGTTGTGCAGTTATAGATGATTGGGAGGCCTTGTGTCAACAAACCTGCTTCCCCAAAAGTACAGGGTAACATTTGCTCTGTCGTCTAGCCTGTCGCTGCAAACAAATCGGAATGAAATCTCATTCAATAGCAACATCATCTAATTCTTTTGCAAGATTGATAAACAGATAATCGGGAAGCTCCCCTATTCAGCATTTAATACCTTTTAATGTTTGTTCTGACCAATAGCATCATCCCAGTAACTGTCATGGACTGGTTGGATGCAGAGGAGTGCTAAGAGGAACCAGCCGGGGAGCCCCAAGGGTAGAAGGGTCAGAGCCCATGGATTGGTGGTGGGATGATGGTGAGAGGGAGAAGACTGGGAGGAGGACGTGTCGGAAGCTGAAGCGGTGGCAGGGTTTAATGAGCAGGAAGAGGCTGTGGCAGAGAGCAGTCCAGAACCAGAACCAGAGGCAGAAGCAGAGGCTGGAGAAGAGGGAGGCCAAGAGGAAGAGATGAGTAAGGCTGGTGAAAAAGTAAAGGGATCTCCTGCTTCTACCACAACAAGCTCCCCTCCCACTAGTCTCCTAAGACCAGGAGAGACATGAAGTGGGTGGGAGCAGCAAAGGCAGGCACACCTGTGTAGTCTGATTCCTTGGGGAATACCCTGGAGAGGTGGAGACTTAGGCAGCAGAGGAAACCTTTAGTCTCTGCAACTGCCTTGTAAGGGGCAAGACGTACTGAGAAAAGTTGCTGCCCTCATTAGGCCTGGCACCCCTGAGCAGGCCTTGTTTCTTCTCAGAAAGAGTTAACTCCACCTACTCTGGGTGACTTACTGTGGGCTCGCTTCTGACAGCAGCAATCAATTAACCTAGATTGTTATAACCTGACTTGTAGCATCACATCTGTGGTATCTGACATCACCTACAGCTGCATTACACACTGCGATTGCTGTGGCAAGCCTTTATGCATCAAATATGTAAAGGCTGAACTTAAAAACACAGAGAAATGCACTCCCCCCCCCTCAACAGTCTGGGCCAACCAGCTTTCCCAGACATGAGTACATGGGTGTTTAAAGATGTTCATACACAGCCTTTTACTAATACACTTGACATGTTTGTTGTCGAAAAACACCGGGCTCTGCAAATGGCTGCAACAATGATTAGAAGCAAAATGAACGGTGCATTTGGAAGTTGAGCATAGCTTTTCCGTTCTCAACTGGAATATCTGGGCGGCACAGCCTCTCTTCTACAAAATGAAAAAGTTATTAATTTTTAAAGCGTATTAACATATAATGAAGTGCATACATAATTCAGCTCGGTAAGCTCTGCTGTCCATGCCTCTTAGTAGTTATAAAGTACCTATTTAAATATACTCGGTTTTACATTTGGAGGTTGGAACGCATTCCTGCAGATGTCACAGTTCTGTTTGTGTTGTTAAAGCTCGTGCAGAACTGGAAATATTGGTACATATAATGTGATTCCCAGGGTCCTGGTTCATTTGTTTATTCACTAAAAATAAACACAGAGGTTCTGGTTTTTACAACGACCTTCATACATGGAATGTAAGTTCTCCCACCTCTTCTAATGTGGCTGTCATTCCTGCTCAAAGGTAGTAAACATCTAAGGGTGTCTAGGGAGTCTATTTCCTAGAGCAGGGGAAACCAATCAGATGTATTACAAATAGAGATATTGGAGAATTCCAACGGGAACAGAAACGGCTGTGGAAATTGCCAGAATTCCAATGATCATCCAAGGTGTGGAACACAAGCAAATACAGTCGTACCTTGGTTGCTGAACACCTTGGAACTTGTAAGTTTTGGCTCCTGAACATTTGAAAAGCAGAAGTGAGTGTTTCAGTTTTTGAATGATTTTCTGAAGTCAAACGTCTGGCACGGCTTCAGTGACTTCCGGGAGTTGAATGGACTCCCGGAACGCATTCTGTTCGAGAAACAAGGTACGACTGTATGACTGGTATTCACTATCAGTTTTTATAATCCTTGAATGATACATAATTATGTTTTCTGCATTTTTTGATATTTCCCTTTCGTTCAGATGCACTGAAGTTAATGACGTAATTAGTTACCTCATTCATTACATAGGTTTTGGGTAAGAGTGGCTAGCGAGATGAATGATAAACGTTTTAGTGGAAGCTGAACTGCAGCAGAACAGGAACAGCGCTGATTGCAAGGGACTCGGGAAGGGCTGGAAATCACTGCCTCCTTACATTCCTAATTACAAGGCAACTGGCCAGATCATATGCATTATGAGGTTTGCCTGATCCATGTCGTCATCTGTCCTTAGGGAATTCTAACTCACCAGACAACAATAGCTGCTCTTTGGTGGCAAAGGAGTGTGTGTTTGTTAGGGATTGGATAGCTCAGTCAGTAGAGCATGAGACTCTTAATCTCAGAGTCATGGGTTTGAGCCCCACACTGGACAAAAAGATTCCTGCGTTGTAGGGGGTTGGACTAGATGACCCTTGTGGGTCCCTTCCAACTCTGCGATTCCTGTCACGGCTAAAAACTGGCCACTGTTTCTTTAATGCTAAAAGAGCTACTTCAGCATGAGTCAGCGGCCTACAATGACTCATGCAATCTTTCACCAAATTGTACCTGTATATATAGAGTGGTCAATGTTAGTGTTTGGTGTGGGCTGGTTGGATGGTAGAAAGCCGGTTGCGTTTGGTGTGTGTAAAAGCTGTCGGTCGTGGTTGGAGAAGCAGACTTTTAAAGAATAAAAGCAGCAATACTCTGCAAGAATACTCTTTCTCAAAGACTCTTGTGTGCCAACTAAGGTCTGAGGACTAGGCAAAGGAGTAAAAAGGAGGTCGGAACCTTTTCTTTTTCAAACACTGACAATTCCAATGCTATTTTTCTAGCACGAACGCCTCCCTTGTTCTTCTATTATGGTAACGGTGCCTCCCTCAGAGGTGCCGGAACAGAGTTCCAGTGAGTTTTGGCTGAAAAAAGCCCTGTGTGATTCTATATTTTGGATCCAATAGGAAAGGATGGATCCATTAAAGTCCAGTCTGTATCATTTCTGCATGGAGACTGGACTAAGTCCACCCTGTCCTGTTTACACACAGATTTTTAGCAGAACATCTAAAATCAGCATGGAAACACATTTTTAAAAAAGCACTTGCGCTCTGAGGGCCTCTGCTCTTGTCAAATACATGTGCCATGCTCTTCACCCTTGGGAATATTTCCTGAGCTGAAAGCTGGACCATAAAGAAGGCTGATCGCCAAAGAACTGATGCTTTTGAATTATGGGCTCTTGAGAGTCCCATGGACTGCAAGAAGATCAAACCTATCCATTCTTAAGGAAATCAGCCCTGAGTGCTCACTGGAAGGACAGATCCTGAAGCTGAGGCTCCAATACTTTGGCCACCTCATGAGAAGAGAAGACTCCTGGAAAAGACCCTGGTGTTGGGAAAGATGGAGGGCACAAGGAGAAGGGGACGACAGAGGATGAGATGGTTGGACAGTGTTCTTGAAGCTACCAGCATGAGTTTGACCAAACTGCGGGAGGCAGTGTAAGACAGGAGTGCCTGGCGTGCTCTGGTCCATGGGGTCACAAAGAGTCGGACACAACTAAACGACTAAACTCAACAACAACAAATATCATGGCGCTTGCATGCAGATGTTGCATAAAACATCCTTGAATCTAGTTGATTCTCAGAGTCCCTTCCAACTCTACGTTTCTACAGTTCTACGACCCCCCACCCCATTTTAGCGGCAGCTGAGGCCTGCCACATTTGTGTTCCATTTCTAACTGCATTCCAGAAGAAAGTTTCTCATGCCCAACTTGAGTGAGGTGCTTGTGTAGTTTAGCCTCGTTTAGTACAGCTCCATTTGCATTACTTTGTAGCAATCATCATGATAAGGAAGGAAAATGGAAAATATAATACAGAACTGGCTTTTTTTTCTAATTGCTCTTCTCTAACATTTGTTTTGCCACGGGCTATTTCCAGCTGTACCGAAGTTCGGCAGCGCACTATCGCATTATCTAAATTTAGAATTCTGCTAAGATAACAGAGTGCTTAAGCACTTTTAATTGGACATATGTCTCCCTGTGTCTCCTTGTACTGATAGCACACTCTGAAATTTCCCTTTTCGCAAGGAATCAGAGGAGAGTGGTATGACCTGCCTTGCTGCTTTCAATTTAATGAACAACTTCTTTACAAAAAAAAAAGGGAGAGAGAGAGATTTTTGTGTCATTTTCAGTAATGTTTAAATCATATTTCATCTAGGCCAATAAGTGAAGAATCCTCGGGTCAAACACAAAGGGAGTAATTTGTTGCGAGATTATTGCATGGTAATGTAATATAATGTAATGTAATATAATATAATATAATATAATATAATATAATATAATGTAATGTAATGTAATGTAATGTAATGTAATGTAATATAAACCACAGATGATGATGATGATGTTCCTTTCTATTAAGAAATAGTAATTATGTCAGAATTTCCCAAACTACATATAATATATGTAGTCCTTTGAAATAATATATGTAGTAGCTTTAGGCCAGACAGGAGCTGACATTGACTGCATATACAAGTTTGACAGCAGTTTGAATCCCCTCAACAGGGTGGGATCCCATTGCTCTGTCCCAGCTCCTGCCAACCTAGCAATTCAAAAGCACACCAGTGCAAGTAAATAAATAGGTACCGCTGTGGCAGGAAGGTAAATGGTGTTTCTGTGCACTCTGGTTTCTGTCACGATTGCGCCAGAAGTGGTTTAGTCATGCTGGTCACATGACCCGGAAAAGCTGTCTGCGGACAAACGCTGGCTTCCTCGACCTGAAAGTGGAGATGATCGCCGCACCCCATGGTCAAATTCTACTGGACGTAATCGTCCAGGGGTCCTTTACCTTTCACTATAAAAGTTTGTGTAGAAGTAAGTCCTATTTGGGACATGGGTGGTGCTGTGGTCTAAACCACAGAGCCTTGGGCTTGCCGATCAGAAGGTCGGCAGTTCGAATCCCCGCTATGGGTGAGCTCCCGTTGTTCGGTCCCAGCTCCTGCCCACCTAGCAGTTCGAAAGCACATCAAAGTGCAAGTAGATAAATAGGTACCGCTCTGGCGGGAAGGTAAACGGCATTTCCATGCGTTGCTCTGGTTCACCAGAAGCGGCTTAGTCATGCTGGCCGCATGACCCGGAAGCTGTTTTCGGACAAACGCCGGCTCCCTCGGCCTATAGAGCGAGATGAGCGCCACAACCCCAGAGTCGTCCATGACTGGACCAAACGGTCAGGGGTACCTTAACTTTTTAAGTCCTATTTAGTTCAATGGGCTTTTTCTAAGCTGAGTGGTTTTGCTCTGTAGGTGGCTTGACAGTGTCCACCCAATGAGTTCATGTCTCTGTTGAGATTTAAATCAAGTTTGTTCAGGACTTGTTCTCTTAATGATAATGTTACATTATGGCACTAAACCACAATTAGCTCAGCACCATTTGTTTGCAAATCTACTTCAACCCATGGCTTGCAATTGTGGTTTGCTGACAGATCACAAGCTATGGTTTAGCCAGTTCAGGCACCACCCCTTTCTTCCTTGTTCAGCATGTTGTCTCAGATAAGCCAGTCTTGCAAGGTGCTCTGATTTTGCATTAGTAATTTGTTCTTCTGAATTTTCTCTCTTCACTTGTAGAGGTGCAGGTTTTTTTTTTTAATTGAGAAAAACAAGTGACAGAGAAAATGAAAAAGCACTGAGTTACCACACTGGCCTCAATATTGTTGATCACTCAAGGGCAAAGCTGGTTAGTATGTACTTAACTCCAGGCTGGATAGTGAGATAATTAAAAGCACTGAATTAATTCATATAAGTGAAAAAGAAGGTTTCAAAAAAGAGCCTTGGACAATACATTTTATGTTCTGTGCCTTATTGCGGTTATGTGTTTTTTTTTTACACCAGCAGTAGATTTGAGCAAGGAAAGAAAGAGAAAGAAAAGAAAATATTTTTGGATGGTTCTTTCTGCTTTGTCCTGGTTCTGCCATGTGCAACAAAACAAACTCATTTGTTACTCTCACAGCAAGGGATGTATTTGTAAGGCGTGACATTGCTGCTGCTCCCTTCTAGTCCAGCAGTTTGGTGTTCTTCCATCTCTCTCCAGAAAGCAAAGGCAGCCTGGGTAAAATTAATAGAAGAAAACAAACCTATTAGGGTTTCGCTTGCGTCCTTCTTGAAGGGCGGAAAACAGAACTCAATGGCCTTGTTGACATTCACCTCAAAGGCTTGGCTGGCTTTTGTTCAATTCACACTTCAATCAGTTCAAAAGGAGGGTCAGTCTCCTGCTAGGGTAAAACCGTGCACATCTCTTGCATAGGTAGTCTTGTTGCCAAGAATCAAGGAGGGATGAGTGCGAGACCCTTGTATGGGCTTTGCTTGGGAAATTAGAAAGACAAACAAGCCTTGAGAAACTGTCTTGAAATTTTGCTTCTCCTAAAAGCTAATGAGCACACAGTGTTGACTGGCATGGCAAGTTTATTAGTTTAGAGACAGTATGTGGCATCAAAATTCAGCAGCACTGATGAATAAAATAAAGCAAGGAATTTCATCACCAGCTGACGACATGGCTCCCCAAATCTCTTTTCTGATGAGAGCAGCTTTTGCATCTCATTTGGAAACCAAGGACCCAGAGTCTGGAGGAAGAATAGGGAGGCACACAATGCCAGATGCTTGAAGTCCAGTGTGAAGTTTCCACAGTCTATGTTGATTTGGGGAGCCATGTCATCAGCTGGTGTTGGTCCACTGTGCTTCATTAAGTCCAGGGTAAACACAGCCATCTACCAGGAGATTTTGGAGCACTTCATGCTTCCTTCTGCAGACGAGCTTTATGGGGATGCTGACTTCATTTTCCAGCAGGACTTTGACACCTGCCCACACTGCCAAAAGTACCAAAACCTGGTTCAGTGCCCATGGGATTACTGTGCTTGATTGGCCAGCAAACTCGCCTGACCTGAACCCCATAGAGAATCTGTGGGGCATTGCCAAGAAAAAGATGAGAGACATGAGACCGAGCAATGCAGAAGAGCTGAAGGCTGCTATTGAAGCATCCTGGTCTTCCATAACACCTCAGCAGTGCCACAGGCTGATAGCATCCATGCCACGTCGCATTGAGGCAGTAATTGATGCAAAAGGGGCCCAAACCAAGTACTGAGTACATATGCATGCTTCTACTTCTCAGAAGTCCAATACTGCTCTATTTGCAATCCTTTCACCTGTATATTTCTACAACAGATAGTTTGTTCTTCCCACTCAGTTCCTGTTTCCACTGGCTCAGTTTTTCTTACAAAGGCTTCAGTCATGACCACATTTCACTGGATATCAGGATTAGACACCCACTCAACCCTTCTGGTCTGAACAGAGGAGAGGTGTAAAACACTCCTCTCTGAGAGCAAGTATGGTAGGTGTTTATGTAGGTACCTTTGGCTATAT